TTTTAATGAGACAGTTGCACTGTGTCGTCCTGGATAGAGTGCTGTGGCATCACAGTTCACAGCAACCTCAAACTCTTGGGCTTATGTGATTCTCTTGCCTCAGTCTTCCAAGTACCTAGGACTACAGGCGTCCACCACAATGCCCAGCTATTTTTTTGTTGTAGTTGTCATTTTGTTTAGCATACCCAGGCTGGGTACAAACCCACCAGCCTTGGTGTTTATGGCTGGTGCCCTAACCACTGAGCTACAGGTGCCGAGCCTGTATCTACTTTCTTAAGACAGGATCTGCCTCTGTCACCCTGGCTACAGTGCAGTGGCACCATCATAACTCACAGCAGAATGAACTCATAGGCTCAGGCAATTCTCTTGCCTCCGCCTCCTGAATAGCTAGCTAGGACTATAGGCTCCTGCCACCACACCTGGATAATTTTTAAATTTTTTATAGACAGGATCTTGCTATGTTGCATAGGCTGGTCTCAAACTCCCAGCCTCAACAATCCTCCCACCTCAGCCTCCCAAAGTGCTGGGATTATAAGCATGAGCCACCTCACCTGGCCTCTGTAGGCAGTTTTGATTGTTACAATGGGGGGTACTACTGAGTCCAGTGGGCAGGGCTCAGGAATGTTGCTGGGCACCCCACATGCACAGGCCAGCCCCACTGCAGGGACAATGATCCAGCCCCAAATGTGAATGGTGCCCACATTCAGGCCAGACCTACAGGAACCTCAGTCCCTTCCCTCTAATGCAGCGGTTCTTAACCTGTGGGTCACAGCGCCCCCCCCCCCCTTTAAGAGTTTCGCTTTATCGCCCTCGGTAGAGTGCCATGGCATCACACAGCTCACAGCAACCTCCAACTCCTGGGCTTAGGCAATTCTCTTGCCTCAGCCTCCGGAGTAGCTGGGACTACAGGCACTTGCCACAACGCCCAGCTGTTTTTTTTTGTTGTTACAGTTTGGCCAGGGCTAGGTTTAAACCCGCCACCTGTGGTGTATAAGGCCAGCGCCCTACCTACTGAGCAACTGGCACCGCCCAGGTCGCGACCCCTTTTTATCAATGAAAATACATTGCGGCATTAGGAAGGTTGAGAACCACTGCTCTAATGGGACACCTGAGACTTCCAGGCCCAGCCCACAGAAACAGAAATGGGCTTGGTGATACAGCCTCACCTGTGACACTTAGCAAAGATGTTGTATAGGACATCTCCTAAACTTCAATTTGGTATTAGGAACTCCTGTTTTAATCAGATTCTCGTTCCAGAGGTCTAGGCTGCAGCTGTAAGCTCTCAGATGCTGCTGTTGGCCTGGGACCCATACTTTGAAGTGAGGGCATGGTCCACTACAGGATGACTTTCCACTGGGTGTGTAACAAACTGACACTCTGAAGCCTGCCACTGTGCAGAGTTCTAGACCATGCACTATTTCACTGCATAGTGAACACACACACCTCTGAAATCTGCCTGCCAAGAGGGCCCTGGCACGCACACTCCACGGTGGTTGACTGCAAAACACTTCTGTCTGCAAAGCAGTCTTCCTGCCACTAGAAGGCAGGTGTGGCAGTTTCCTGAGAATTTCTTCCATCCCTAAGACCAGAGAAGCTGTAGAGGGTGGAGGCTGCTTTCCTCTGGATTCCAAAAACTGCTGGAAAGATGGGCTTCAAGATGTACGGAAGTACTGGCTTGAGCAGGTCCCAGCAGCTAATCATGTGACAACTAGCCAGTGAAGAGCTGTCCCATTGGGCAGATTGAGCCAGGCACTGGCACAGTAGATGTCATCACAGGTATAAGAGCAGGATATGATAGGCAGGGCTGAGACACTAGGTTGGCATAGGACTTCCTAAAAACAGGAGAAATACTCTGTCTGGCCCTGACCCCACTGCGTTTAGCCTGGCACTACCCTGACTAGGGTGTGTGTATTGCCTATGAGGAGCTGCCAGCTGAGCCTTGTGGGGCTGCAGAGCCTTCCCCACTCCTGCAAGCCCAGGCCCCAGACAGGCACCAGGCTGAGGGTGCCTCCTGCCAAAGCAGCCCTGGCAGGCTCAGGGGAGCCTGGGATTATCTACTGCCCCAAAGTGCCAGGCCAGCATTGCCCTGCCCTTGCCTTCTCTAGCCCCACTAGCTCTGCATGCATACCTGCCACCTGGCTGCTAAGGATCCAGTATATGGATGGCCCCTGAAGCTGTAACTAAGAAAGATCCTGATGTGAAACAGGGAAGACGGAAGGCAGCTGTGGGCCCTGCTTACTCATGTGTGTGGGGGGTCAGACCTGTCCAGCCTGGTGGGGGTAGGGGTCAGTGGACAGAAGCTGGAACCTGGGAACACAGGCCACACATTAACTTCATGGCAAAAACTTCAGGTAGTCAGAAGATTCCAGAGAATGCTACAGTTAGAAAGACAGCAGGTAGCAGTGTGTAGCTGGGGAGGCCAGGCCTGTTGGGAGCAAAGCCTAGGGTACAAGGCAAGACCACAGAGCCTGGTGGTGGTTTGGAATTCTTTCTTCTCTTTTGTTAAAAGGGGGAAAGGAAATGGACATGGGTACGCTGGGCTCTAGGGGTGACATGCAGGCAGCCCCAGCAGACAGGTGCTGAGGGTGGGTTGGAAGGTCATGGAGTTTCCCATGACCCTTTTGTTGGCAGGCACAGCAACACTGGCTGCTGAAGGGGCAGGTGAGGCAGGGCCCGGGGGGTGGCAGTGGGTGAGGGGTCTGGGGCTCACTCTAACATGCAAAGTCCAGCTGCCCCATGTGCTAGGTTGCTTTTTGAAGAGCAATGTACATATAAATACACAGACACAGCTACACGCACACATGCGGAGAGCTCTGTACCCCCGAGGGTGGGGATCTGGGCCTGCCGGCCCCCACGGAGCTCCAAGTCAGGAGCCAATTGTCTCCACAGGGCAATTCCCGCAGTACCCCCTAATCTGGGGCAGGGCGGGGCAGATGAGTCCTTGAGGGAAGGCTGTTTGGCCTCTGAAGTTCTGTCCACCAGACACCCAAACCATTTTGAACCAAATCCAAGCGCACTGGGTGCCACGTGCCTGTGTCCATAACTTGCGTGCGTGCAGCCGTGCATGCTGGCACAAGACATGACCCTGCTTGGCTAGAGTCCTGTCTTTTCCCTCCAGGTCTCTGGGGAGTAAGGGGTGCAGACAGAGAAGGGGTGAAGGGGCCCGTGGAGATGTCCTCTCCCCCGCCCCACGGGGTCCTGGCCTCCGGGAGGGGGGAGGGGCCTCTCTTATCTCTCTGCCTCCATGGCAGGGTGGGCCCTCGGTTCTGAGGCAGCTTGTTGAGGAGCCAAGGGTGGCCAGTCTGAAGCCGGGGAAGGGGGTGCTGGAGTCCACAGGGGTGGCTGTGGCTGGTGGTGCTGTGGGCCCCCTGGGGGCGAGGCCGCAGTTGGCCAGCTGGGTGCCGAGAAGCTGCCAGTGGCAGCATGGGGGAAGTGCGGTGGAGGCGAGGTGGCTGTCGCGGCCATCGGGCTGCCACTGCTGCCACCGTGGAAGCTCTCAGAGGCCTTGAGACGAGAGAACATGGTGAGGGCATCAGGGAAGTTGGGGGGCGTGGCAGGGGTATTGGCGGGAGTGCACATCTGTGGGGGAAGAATGGAGAGAAGGAATGAGCACCCTTTCTGTGAGGGCCCCCTCAGAACCAGGTTAAAAAGACTGTCCCTTCCCCAGATGCCACTGGAGTAGCATCCTGGCCCCACCAGCTGGTCCTCCACCCAAGGGCTTGCAGAGGAAAGCACTGAGCAGAGCTGACCCAATCCCCTTGGGTCCAGGGGCACATCCAGGTGCAGGCCTCTGGGGCCATCAGGCTTTGCCAGCGCTCCCCAGGTCCCATGGGAAAGTGATGCAGGTGGAACTGAATCCAGGGCACCCACCTCCGTGTGTACCAGTGCCCTCCATCTGGGCCATGGCTGCTGCACTCAGAACTGCCTCAGTTTCTGCCCCCCGCCCAGAACTAGGGCCCCAGGAAACACTTACCATCTGGTGGTGGTGGTGGCTGTAGGGGATGTTGGTCTCCTGGAAAAAGGCGCTGAGGGCTGTCTGCAGGAAGAAAAGCTTGTGCTTACCATCCAGGACCCCACCATCCCTATGGCTGCCCCTGTTCCCAGGCTCCTCTGGGCATGGGCAACCCCAGCCTGACCAACAAGTGGGGTTGAGGCCCAGTGGTGTGCCAGGGCGCTCAGGCAGCTTCGGATGGGCAATAAAGAGACCCTCATAACACCACTTACCACCTGCCAGCCAAATACCCACAGCTTGCCAAGCCCACCCCTTGTGCATACCTGGCATTGTCACCATGAGAAAGAGGATCTAAGCCTTTGATTCTGCAGTCTAACCTAGCTCTGTCACCAACTTGGTGGGTGAAAAGTCCTAATGCTCAGAACCTCGGTTTCCTCATCTGTGAAGCAGGAGAATATTGAGAAGGAGTCCAAGCCTGTAGGGTATAGACCTACTGGGTGCTTCCAGGTTCCCCTCCCTTGCTACAGTGACCTCTTAAAACCACCACATTCCAGCCAAGAGAACCTAGAATTAAGCAGGAGTGCCTAGGTCTTCCACTCACTCATTCACCCAAGCCTCTGGTGTAATGTGCTCAATATGGTGGAAGAGGAGGACAGCTCCTGGACTAAGCCCCTACCCCATGTGTATCCACCACTGCAGTGTTCCCTGGCCACCTGCTGCTGGCTGCACCATAAAGGTTACGTGATACCCCACTGTCTCCTTTTACATTGCTGCCACAGGCCACACTGAGCAAGGTGCCCACATGAAGCAGGGCTCCATCAAATGGGAGCATTTATCATCATCATTAATACTAGAGCAGGGACTAGCATCATCTGTTTTAGAGATAAGGAAGCTGAGGGACAAAGTGACTTGCTTTGGATCACTGGTCAGCAAAAGGCAGAGGTGAGGTTAGGACCTCATACTGTAACTCCAGGCTGAGCCCTCAGACCAGCCCACCTAAGGTCGGAAAGGGGATGATACTGGCATTTGTTGTGTCCTTGATCAGCCCCTGCAGAGGGGAGGTTGAAGGAAGTAAGGTTGCTCTTGTAAAAATGCTAGGCGAGGGAGCTCCTGCAAGTGTGCGAGGGGTCCTTGAAACCTTGCCAAGTGTCAGGCTCAGCCTTGCAGCTCAGAGAAGCTGCTGAACCCCCAACCCAGCTGCCCAGTATCACCTTGAGTTCCTAGCCCCTCGCCCACCCCAACACACCCAGAAATCCTCCAAGGGGCTCAGGGTTTTCCCTCAGATTTTTTTTTTAAGTAAACTCAAATGAATTATTTTGGGAATTTCCTGACGAAGACACCCTACCTGGCTATCCCCAGACTGGTGTGGGTGCTCAAACATGGGGGCTGGTGTCCTAAGGGCCTCCCTGACTCCAAGACCTTCCAGTAGCATACTGCAGCCCCCAGCCCAGGATCACTCTGCAAACCCTAACCCGGCAGCTCCACGCTCCAGACCCTTCCCTCTGTGTGAGTTCTCCACAAAGAAACATCTGCCCCACTAGACAGAAGCCCCTCCCCTTGCAGCCTCCTGCCCCCATTAGCACCTGAATCACAGATAATGTGACCCAGAAACACTGCCTGCCAGCTGGCAGGAAAGCAAAGAGGAGGCTGGGGTAATAGTGAGGAACCCCTCTCTCACTCCCATGCAAAGGACTGAGGTACAGGCACCTTACAAGCTGAAACCCACCAGAGCCACCCAGGCTAGTTTCCCCCCAGACATTTCAATCTTCAAAGCTTTATTTTATTTTACTTTTAAGAGACAGAGTCTTTCTATTATCCAGGCTGGAGGACAGTATCAAGATCATAGCTCACTGCTGCCTAGAACTTCTGGGCTCAAGTCCTTCTGCCTCAGCCTCCCAAAGTGCTGGAATTACAAGTATGGCCACTGTGCCCAGCCTAAAGCTGCATTACAGTTCATCTGCACAGTGTAAGGGATATAGCCTAGGTGCAAGGCTCTGAAGAGGGCTGGACTTAGTTGCAGGCAGGGCCTACTTCCCACTGGACACCTCCCTGCCTAGCCCTAGGTAGGGAGGGAACCTGTATGTAGATGTGAGACTCAAGCAAACTGCCATGAATGTGGTTTTGCAAGTTTTGCCACATCCACTCCTTGAAACAAACAGGACTGTTAGGGTTGTGGAGGAGGTGGGGAGCAGGGAGCCCCAGGTAGAGCTGCCTAGGGGAAGGGGGCAGTGAGCCAGACGTTGACTCACACACTTCAACCCCCTCACCTCCCAGGTAGAGAAGATGAAACTGAAGCCAGAGGACAGAGCAGCCTTAAGACTGCCCTGGGGTCAGGGCTCCTGAGATCTCTGAGAGAAGAGGATGGATTCCTCCAGGTGGAAGGGCCACTATCTCCTCAGTCTGTCCCAAGCTCGGGACATTCTGACCCCCATCGTGTCCCCAGAAAGCTAAGCCCCAGAGTCCTCTGCCTCCTGGTCCCCCCTGCAGGCCTAAATACCTTCCCTGAGATGACTCCCCATTGGGAAACCAGGATCTTGTGTCCCAAATGGGCAGAGAAGCCACCATACCGACGGAGGCTCTGACTCCACAACTGAGAGTCTGACCCCACCCTTAGATACTACTTCGGGGGATATTTCTGGGGTCTGTTAATCAAGGAAGGGCCAGACTGCTCCTTGGCAGCACAAGCCACAAGCACTACTGCCTTATGGGTCAGCACAGGCCTGGGGGAGTGGGTGCCAGAAATGAGACAGCCCCACCTCTTGCCCTACCAGCCCGAAAACCAATGAACCGAGTACACCCTCCCCAGTAGATTCTCCTGTAAGCCCCAGAAGACAGCACCCAGACACACACATTGACTCCCCAGCAGCCTCTGGAGCCGGGTATACACATATACATCCCCGCGCTGTGGTGTGGGTCCCCCAACACATCACCTACCCCATCGTACTGCACACGAGCAAACTAGGTAAAATCGCCACATGTATACCCGCCGAGCGGACACCAAACGCAGGGACAGACTGCGTGATCACACCCGCGCCAACATGCCCACACGTACACAACCCCGTGAGCCCCGCTGACGCCGCAGCGCGGTGCGTGCGTAAATACAAACGCACATGTCCGCGTACGCACCCGCAGCCAGCCACCCCCGGGGCACACCGACCCTCGGACCACACGCACGAACCGCCCCGCCCTCTAACGAGACCTGGGGCATCCTCTTTCCGGCTGCCCGCCCGGCGGTCCGTCCGCGGCGCCGCCCTGCCCTCGACCGTTACCGGAACAAAAGGGGAGACGCGTCTTGACCGCCGGGGGCTTGGGGCCCCGCGGAGGCGGACAGCATTTCCGCTCCCCAACGCCCGGGCCCACTCGCCTCAAGCTCCCGGGGCCCGGATGTCGCTGCGACCCTCGGGAAAGCGGGTCGAGTACGAGGCGGACCCCGAGGGCGCACAGCTGCACGTGTCCAACCCCGCCCGCCCTCGCTCGGACACACGGCGCTGCGGCCCAGTCCCGGCCGGCGACCGCGCACCTCGAACTGCCAGTGGGCCGCCTGCAGCAGCTGTTTCGCCTGGTCGGCCGCGCAGCCCGCCGTCAGCACGAACTGGTTGATCATGACCTGGTGCTTGAGCTCGTCCATGTTCACGGACATGGCGCCGCTGCGCTGCCCCTCCGGCCGCCCTCGCCGCCGCCTCACGCGTCCACCATTAGCGAGCCGGCTCCGGCTAATACAAATATTTACCGTGCGGCTCTGACTCACCCAGCCTCGCCTCGCTCGCGGCCGCCGCGGCATGCTGGGAGATGTAGTCCCGGCGCCCCCGCCGGCGGCGCCAGGCCGAAGCTGGGCGGGAACAACAGCTCAGAGCCTGCGAGGAACCACCGCAGCGTCGCCCTGCGACGAGGGGTCACTGCCCTTGTGTAGGTGCCTAAGCCGGGCCTTGGGCCAAGGCCGGGGACGCGAAACCCTCTGTGCATCGCACTCTGGCAAGCAGGCGCTCCCTTAGAGCGGGAGCCAGAGGCTGCGAGGCCTTGAAAGTTTGGCACACGCTAAGCGCCAACAAATAAATACTAGTTCTATGAATAAGTCTGCCCTTCAAAGCCGTGCTCGAAGCCACCGTCTCCAGGAAGCCTTCCGGGTCTCCTTAGCTCAGTCGCGCGTCGCCCACCCTTGGGGGCCCCCTCCCCAATCCTTGCTCTTGGCCTGTCACACAGTCTGAGGAAGCGATGGCGCCCGAAACAGGGTCCTCGGGGTACAGCTTGCAGCAGCACTCCCGCCTTCCCACACAAAATCTAATGCTCTTTGGTGGGAAATCCCGGCCTTTAGTGGAGGGCGCCAGGACCCCGCGGAGCCAGTTCCGGAGCGGTCTTGAACTCCCATTCCCAGAATGCCCTGGTTTATTTGCATCGTTTTGTCCTGGGTGACGTCAGCTGAGTGAGGTCACGCCTCGACCAATGGGTAGCCTCAGGGTGTTAGGACCTGGCCATATAAGGTAAACAAAGCTGGCCGGCCAATGAGGCGGCGGCGGGGGCGGGCACTGGGTCCAGGCGGACGGGGGCGCGTCCTGTGGCGGCGGGGGCGGGGCGTTGCGGCTGTGTTTACAACCCCGCACATGTGGCTTCCGGTTGACCTCGCGGGTCTGCAAGTTGGCCCTGGCCTGTCCTCTCTTCAGAGCGAGGCGAGGCGGGGTTGCTCGGGCTCTGAGTCATTCGTTGAGCCACTATTTATTGGGTCCTTACTCTGTGGGGGTTTCTGACTTGGCCTGGGACTTCGGGATAGCAAAACTGGGGGCGGGTAGATTTATGGCTTTGCCTAAGGCTAGGGGCCAAGGGAGCAAATATCTGAAAACCCAAAGACAAATGTAGCATAAAAAATATGGAAAGTGCCCTGAGGAAGCAGGCACAGGCCCTAGGGGTGGGTTAAGGGCCGTTGAAGTGTTTCAGTGGATTTCTTCTCATCTTTGCATTAAGATCACTGTGACTCGGCTCGGCTCCTATAGCTCAACCGGCTAAGGCGCCAGCCATGTAGACCTAATGTGGCGGGTTCGAATCCCCAGCCCGGACCCGCCAAACAACAATGATGGCTGCAACCAAAAAATAGCCGGGCGTTGTGGCGGGCGCCTGTGGTCCCAGCTACTTGGGAGGCGGAGGCAGGAGACTCGCTTGAGCCCAGGAATTGGAGGTTGCTGTGAGCTGTGATGCCATAGCACCTTACCCAGGGGGATAGCTTGAGGCTCTGTCTCAAAAAAAAAAAAAAAAAAAATCACTGTGACTGGAAGTGTGGGCACCAGATGAGACGGTAAAGGAGAGATCCAGTCTGCATTGGGCTATGTTCTGGGTGTGTCTGGTTACAGGAAATTGGCTCAAATGAAGGGGAAAGCCCCAAGGTGAGGAGCTGCCTGGCCCTTCACCCCTGTGGTGGGGTGAGGAAGAGGACAGTGGGGTAACTGGTGGACAGGACCAAAAAGTCCTGGATTTGGGGTTATGGGGGAGGCGAAGGCATTGATAGCTCAGCGGGTTGGGGAAGGGAGGGAGTCAGGTGGCAGGGGAATCCACTTCTGAGGGCTAGAGCTAGGAGCTTGACCTATGGACAGGGAGAGATCACTGAGTGTCAGGTGTCTTATCCCCGGCAGAAGCCACCTGACCCGGAGAAATACCGTTTAAGCCTCTTATCAGACTCTGATGGTGCTAAGAGATTGCAGAGCATCATGTACATGAATTAATGTGGGTAAACCTCTCAGTAGAGGATTGGCACACAATAAAGGTAGCTTGTAATTATTCTCTTTTATTTTTTTATTTTTATTTTTTTTGTTTGTTTGAGCTGGAGCCTCAAGCTATCCCCCTGGGTAGAGTGCCATGGCATCACGCTCACAGCAACCACCAACTCCTGGGCTCAAGCGAGTCTCCTGCCTCAGCCTCCCAAGTAGCTGGGACTACAGGCTCCCGACACAACGCCTGGCCATTTTTTGGTTGCAGCCATCATTGTTGTTTGGCAGGCCCGGGCTGGATTCGAACCTGCCACCTTAGGTGTATGTAGCTGGCGCCTTAGCCGCTTGAGCCACAGGCGCCGAGCCGTAATTATTCTCATTGAAAGTGCATGGGGTGGCGCCTGTGGCTCAAAAGGGTAGGTTCATATGCTGGAGGTGGCTGGTTCAAACCCAGCCCCTCCCTCCAAAAAAATGCAAAAACAAACAACAACAACAATAAAAAATGCAACACAGCAGGGGTCAGTCATATGTGGGTGTCAGTCTTAACTCCACTGTTTAATGATTATGGTGTTGAGAACCAGTGAAGAAGAACAGGCATCTGGTGGGCCAGCAGGGTATGTTTCTGGTAAGGGAGAATGGGCACTGTCCTGGGAGGCCCCACTGGGGGTTGTTCTTGTTCAGGGAGGCAGGAAATATCTTTACCCTTCTTTCCACCCTTATCCAAGTACCACTTAGATACCTGCCCAAGCTTGCCCAGCCCTGAAGGCATCCTCCCAGGCCAGCAGGCTGGTAGGGGTGAAGCAGATGGGACCGACAGGGGCAAAGGTCACCCTGCTGGTCTCCACATCTCACCCACCTCAGGCAGCTTTTTTTCCTAGGAGCAACAAGGAAGAAAAAAACAATTTTGTTTTCAACCAAGATCACTGTGGCTGAGAAGTGGACTTTGGATTTCTTAGCAGAATGGGAAGGGACTTGACAGTAGATGGGGGGAGGGAGAGGAGAAAGCATTTCTGGCGGCAACCTTATCTTACCAGACAGTAGACAGGTTAAGAGCTTTGCCATAGTTCACATGGTCAGTGGAGAGCCCAGGGCCCTGGCCTCTCTGGTATGTCCTGACTGACTTTTTCACTCCCACTTTTCATTCATTCCACAGATGTGTTTGTTACCCACTGAGGAACACAAGAATTGGCCATGAGCTGTCCCCAGAGTATTTATTTATTTTAGACAGAATCTCAAGCTGTCACCCTGGGTAGAGTGCCATGGCATCATGATAGTTCTCAGCAACCTCCAACTCTTAGGCTCAAGCAATTCTCTTGACTTAGTTTTTCTATTTTAGTAGAGGTGGGGTCTCACTCTTGCTCAGGCTGGAGGCTGGTCTTGAACTTGTGAGCTCAAGCAATCCATCTGCTTTGGCCTCCCAGAGTGCTAGGATCACCCCCTCTTTGCACCTCAGTCCATTTCCCCAAAGCACCACCCATTTTGAACTTATACACTAATTAACCTTTTTATGGTCTGTTTCCTCATTTGCCTATAGGCTTCACGTCTACCTTGTTCCATCATTTGATGCCTGTTGCCTGGTTCATCACCTGTCATGTCGTAGTCATGTGATAAATATTTGCTGAATAAATAAATGAATCACCCAGATGTTGGTAGTGGAACTTGGACCAAATCAGGAAGGGCCTGTCTTCTAGCTGGATAAACAGAGAAAAATATTGCCAGAGGGCCTCTGAGGCTACTTTGAGTCTAAAGTTCTCTTAACAAGTATAATTAATCAAATGTCTAGCAGGTGAAAACAATTGCCCTGGCCCAGGCTCCAAAGGGAAAATGTGCTTTTAGTGTTATTTTTCTGTGGGAACCACATGAGTCTTAGGATTCTCCCTCCCTCCCCAAAAGTAGTGAGGGCAGTAAGTGTATATACGTGTATCTATGTTGTGTGAATCAATGAAAAGAAATATAAGAGAAGAAAGATCACACTGGGTAGAGATGTCCTCAGTCCTATCCTTTTGGGGGCAAGAGACTTGAAATCTGGCACATTAGAGCATGTCTCTGGGGGAGGCAGGGAAGTGCTGTGATAAGAGCATTGGCCTGGTTCAAATTCCAGCTGAACCACTTATCTACTATGCAATCTGAGTAAGATACTTCACTTTTCTGAGCTGAATGTTCTTCAGTAAAATGGGAATGAAAATAGAATCTGGGCTGAGCACCACGGCTCATGCCTGTAATCCTAACACTCTGGGACGCTGAGGTGGGTGGATTGATTTAGCTCAGGAGTTCAAGACCAGCCTGAGCAAGACTGAGACCCCCTCCCATCTCTAAAAATAGCTGAGCGTTGTGGCAGGTGCCTGTAGTCCCAGCTACTTGGGAGGCTGAGCCCAAGAGTTTGAGGTTGCTGTGAGCTATGATGCCATGTCACTGTACTGAGGGTAACAAAGTGAGACTGTCTCAAATAAATAAATAAATAAATAAAAAGAAAGAAAATACAACCTGCATCAGAAAATTAAATGAGAGGCACCAGTCTGGGGCCTGGGCAGGTACAAAGCCCTCCTCATGATGACACCACAGACCTGGGTAGAATATGGACCTTAGTTGGGAGGCAGGAGATTTAATCAGGCTCCCTGAAGATCTGGACTCTTCTTATAATCACAGAAATCCCTGATACCCCTTATTCATTTGGCTTCCCAACAGGAAGGGTGGATCCTGGATTGTGGCCCCTGGACAGGTGTAGGATATATTTTAATGTGAACTGTGGTGAATTTACCATCTGAGGGTCTCAGACTGCCACTGCCTTTCCAAGCTGCTTTCTTGGTACTGCAGGCTTGACTTGAGAAATAACTCTTCTCAGGGCTGGGCACGGTGACTCATGCCTGTGATCTTAACAATCTGGGAGGCCGAGGTGGGATTGCCTGAGCTCACAGGGTCAAGACCAGCCTGAGCCAGAGAGAGACCCCGCTCACTAAAAATAGCTGAGAGTTATGGCAGGTGCCTGTGGTCCCAGCTACTCGGGAGCCTGAGGCAAGAGAATCACTTGAGGCCAAGAATTAGAGGTTGCTGTGAGCTACAACGCCAAAGCACTCTACTGAGGACGACATAGTGAGACTCTGTCTCAAAAAAAATAAAAGAAAGAATTCTTCTCAGAATCCCAGTTCCTCAACTGAAAAGAGGGTAAAAGTCGACCCCTGCCTGGTCTGCTTACAGAGTTGTGTGTGGGTCAGAAAATACTTTGCAAACTGAAAAGTTTTTTTTTTTTCCAAACTGAGAACTTTTAATCATGACCTTAATTCTTTCAAACTTGCCTTCAGCACATTGTATGCAGCCCTCCCTTCTTTGTGCCTCAGTTTCCCTGTGCATATAAAATGGAAAGAGGACCTTCCGTGGGGGGTTGTAAAATTGTCTTCAAGGTCTTTGTTCTGGACCCGGGGCAAGAGAGAGGCTAGCAAAAGCTAAAGCAGGTGCCTGGCGTCCCCTGAGAGGACCGCTGCAGCTGAGCCTGAGTTCCACCTCGGTTTTCTCGGGGATGCAGGTGAGTGTGTGCCCTCTGCTGGTCCGGGGCAGGGGACGAATCCCAGTGGCTTAAGGAGATACTTCAGAACGGGGGCAGGTGGAAGGCGTTGGGTCGCTAGAATGATCTACGTATGCGCAGATTATTAAGAGACTAAGGAGTTAAGATGCTAGCCCTGTGCTTGGAACGCAGTGGGAGGGACAATTTAGGATTCGTCAGGTATTTCCTTCCCTCTGGATTTAGGTTCATATGGTCCGACCCGGAGCACTAGTCAACGCGTTCAGGGCCTGGGCGGAGAGCATCTGGGAAATGTAGTTCTGCGGCGTGCTTTCTGCGCCGCACCCAGCGCCCTCGGCGGCCCAGGGACTCCACTTCCCGACGTGCTCCGGGCTCGGGGGACGGAGGGCCGCCGAGGCGTGCGGCCGGAGCCTAGCCGGGGGTGGGGGTTCGGAGCCGAGGCGGCGTCGCGGCCGTGGACGAGCGTCCGTGTGGCCTGGTCTGGGCCACATCCGTGTGAGGGCACCGCTGCCGCCGCCCCCGTCCTAGTTCCAGCCCAGCAGCGCCGCGCGCCATGGGCTCCATCCTGAGCCGCCGCATTGCGGGGGTGGAGGACATCGACATCCAGGCGAACTCGGCCTACCGCTATCCCCCAAAGTCCGGTGAGCGCCCAGCCTCGGCCCCTCTGACGCGTACGGCGAGGTGCAGGCTGGAACGCGGGCCCGGGCGGCAGACCTGGGGGCGGGACGTGGGCGCTCCCACGCGGGGGCCTTCGAAGGCGGGTTTGGCGTGTTAGGGGAGGGGGCGCCTTGCTTGGTTCCCCCCTCCCTGCCACATTCTTGTCCGAAAGCTGCGTGTTATTCCTGGGCTAGAGCTGGAGGCGTGGCTGGGGACCCTGGACCGCCTCTGTAGAGTCGTACCTAGCGCTGCCACTTCCCAGCTGGGTGACCTTGGGCTAGTCACTTAGTTCCCTATGTGTCTCGACTCCCTCATATGCACACAGAGAAAACTGCTGGCGTGAAATTCCTAGCACGGCCAGGTGCTTAGACCTGGTTCTTTGTTTGTCCTTAGAAAGTGTTCACTGTCGTAACGCCACTGTGGCTGGCTTCCGCTTTCTTTGGTGGCTTGGTATGAAGACCAGGCCAGTGGTTTTGGCACTTAACATCCCATATGGACAGAGGCTTAACTCTCCTGGTATGTGGGCTGGGCCTGAGAAGGTGATTATAATTAATGGAGAAGGACTGGGGTCCTTGCTGGGAGGACAGGGCCAGCAAGGATAGGGCTGGACAACAGGGGAGTGGTTGGAGAGGACCTAGTGGATTCTCTGATCTCTGTTTTATGGCTGAGGGATTGGAACCACCAGGAAGGGAGTAACTTTACCAAGGTCTCTGAGCTCAATGAAATCACAGCTGGCACCAGGACCAGGTGTGGGGCACTCAGAGAAGCCTTGTTCCCATTTTGTTCTCCCATTTTGTTTTCATGAGCTGGCCTGACAGGGAACTTGTATCTTCACATTCTCCGTGGGGTCATTTTCTTGTGGGGTCATTTCCCGTGGAAAGAGAATAAAGAAAGGATGGAGAATTTAGATGTCATGGAAAAATGCAGATTGAGTCCTCAGATCCTGGCTGCTGCTTATCTGATCTGATGTGTCATTTATCATGTGTCTTTGGACACCCACAGGCCAGATCCCTGAGTGTGGTTCAGGGCCACCTGCTCCCAGTAGTGAGGAGACTTGTCATACATCCGGACTCTGTCTCAGATCTTTTGGAGCCTAGGAACCTGCATTTTAAACCTCCCCTGGCCGGGTGTGGTGGCTCACTGGCTCACACCTGTAATTTCAGCAGTCTAGGAGGCTGAGGGGGGGCAAGAGTGAGACCCAGTTTCTTGTGGCAGGAGCTTATAGTCCCAGCTACTCAGGAGGCTGAGGCAAGAGAATCTCTTCAGCCCAAGAGTTTGAGGTTGCTGTGAGTTATGATGTCGTGGCACTCTACCTAGGGTGACAAAGTGAGACTCCGTCTCCAAAAAAAATAAAATAAACCTGTTCCCCTGGTGAGTCTGATGTCCTCTGAAGTTTGGAAAAATACTCTGTGCCCTGATTTTGTAAGGTGGAAAGAAAGTGAAGGTCTGGGCCTACTGTATTGAAAGGGGGAGGAGGGGATTTAGCACAGTTTTGGGGCCGTCACAAGGGGATGGAATCAGAGTGGGCAGAACACATTGTAACCTACCAGCTGGGAGATCTCAATGCCTGCTACAGCCTAGCCCACCAGTAGGGTGGCCTGGCCTGCAGACCCCAGAGGCAGATGCCAGATCAGATGTGGCAGTTGTTTGCTGCTCTTCCGTCTGGATGTTCGTCCATCCTGTCTTTGAAGGCAAGATACCTTGGTCAAGTTGTTTAACCTGGATCACATTTTCCTCGTCTATAAAATGGGCAGAAAACTTTGTGTAGTGCCCAGAACTGTGCTTGGCACTTAACAAAGTCCTTAACAAACTAGCTGCTATGGTGGCTTAAAAAGGAGCCTAGGTGACTGGCTCCCTAATAACAGCAGCATCATGACAAAGTTTAATGTGGCACTTCTTATCTATCACGTGGTATCAGAGCACACTGGATGTCCCTTCACTTGGGTGTTTAGACAAAATTCTAAAATTAGCCCACTTTCAGATTCCACTGTGGCGGATGTTGCCAATCATTGATAATACTCCTTCCCAAGACACTGTCACAGAGCACCCCAGTCAGTCACTATTAATTGGTTGTCCCTGGCACCATGGGTGATGAAATTCAGTGGCCACTTGAGTCATGCTGCCAGGGGCAGCTGTATTCTCTTGTCTAAAGTTGTCCCCAAAGGCTGTCCTCTCTAATCTTCTTTACTTTTCTGTACCTCATCTTTCTGGGATCTTGCAGATACTTATACCTTTCTTTGTTCATCTCTCCTGTCCCCAGACCCGGGTCCTGTGCCTTTCTGGGCTTCCTGACACTTCAGGAGAACCCCATGATATCAGGGAGTGGCAGTTGGAGGCAGGAGTGGCCTTAGTAGTACTTCAGTGTGTTTCTGCAAGGGTGGACTACAGACTGTAGGGATATTTAAGGCCATTTTTGAACCCACCGCTCTTGGTATATGGGGCCGGCACCCTACTCACTGAGCCACAGGCACCACCTATGTATTTTCATTTCTTTTGGCTGTATACCTAAGAGTAGAATTGCTATGGTTAAGGTGACCAAACGCCCCGCTTTTGGTGGGACAGTCCCGATTTTTAACAATTTGTCCTGCGTCCCGTGGCGTTTTAAAAAAGTCCCGATTTTTGGAAAGAATGCATGACAAGCTAAGGAACAGCAGGAGAATGGGAAGGGAATATAGGGTTTAGCAGCTGCTGAAAAGGTTATTGTAACTCCATTTGTGAATGAAGAGGTTAACGTAACTTCATTTGGAAATGAAAAGGCTAATGTAAACTCCCTACTCCCCTTCCTAGGCAAGATATCAGGAGGAGACTGGCTTTTTTGAGATAGAGTCTCACTCTGTCACCCTTGGTCATGGGGTCACAGCTCACAGCCTCCCAAGTAGCTGGGACTACAGGCACCCGCTACAACTCTGGCTGTTTTTTGTTGCGGTTGTCATTGTTGCTTAGCTGGCCCAGTCCGGGTTTGAACCCAGCAGCCTCTGGTGCTGTAACCA